ATGCGATTTTGGTATCTATCTGTTTTACTTGTTGGTAGTTTACGTGACGAATAACATTTATAAGAAATAAAACAGAAAAAGTGATTACTTATCTCTTTAGGTTTGTTTGTTTGTTTGGAATTAAGCACAAAGCTACACAATGGGCTATCTGTGTTCTACCCACCACGGGTATTTAAACCCGGTTTCTAGCGTTATAAGTCCGCAGACATGCCGCTGTGCCACTGGGGGGCATCTCTTTAGTTACTGGGTTTATTAGTAGCATTTGTAAGTAAAATCGAGAAAAAGTACTGACCGTGAATATGTTGTTTGATATTAAGCACAAAGCTACACAATGGGCTATCTGTGTTCTGCCCACCAAGGGTATCGAAACCAGATTTCTAGTGGTATAAGTCCGCAGACATATCATTATGTCACTGGGGGACACGGACCGTGAGTAAATGAGGTGATTAAGAGTTTTTAGGCTTAGCCATTTTTTTTTAATGCAAACTAGTGTTGTTTGTAAAATTAGCAGTACGTGATATTAGTTTTTAAGAAAGCAAATGTAGGAATAATTAAAAAAAGGGGGATGAAAATTTTTAGTTCTAATATAAGAAAAGAAATATCAATTTGGCATGTTTGTTCTTCTGTTGAAATTATGAAATACCTGTGTATACCACTCACGGGATCCAAACCTTTCTTCCTGGAAGACAAGTGGCAGTTAAATGCACCCGCTTGTTATTTATTTAGACAATGAAACATAATAGTGTCTTTGTATTGGTTTAAACATCTACAGTTATAAACTTGTGTAAGTTGTACATGTCTTAAATGTACCTATCACAAGAAAAAATATTAATATTTGTTTTGTCAGATGTCACAATATCATAAAAAAACACGATATAGAATATAAAATAGTAAAAAAGTAATTTGTCAGGTTGTTTGTTTTCAATTACGCGCAAAGCTACACGAGGGTTGTCTGCACTAGCCGTCCCTAATTTAGCAGTGTAAAACTAGAGGGAAGGCAGCGAGTCATCACCACCCACCG